AAATTAGACTTATATCATGTATATGACAAATCTTAACATTAAAAATATAACCAAACTGAAACATACCTGTAAATCCAAAGGAAAAATAAGATTATAAAAATTTACAACTTTATTGTTCAAGGCGTCGCATGGAAGTGACCAGGGTAGGTCAGATTTCCAGCGACACCAGATTGCCCTTGGATTACAGGTAATTATAACCAATCAAATTCAAGAATAATTTTAAGGAAGTCGAGAAGGTGTGAAACTATACCATTTTTGGATTTGAACATGATAATTGAAATCACGTGACATGCACCGATGACCCTTGCGGCTGACCAGGCTCAACGCACCTGTGCATGGCCTGAGGCCTTGACAGATTTATAACTAAACAGTACAATTATAAAAATAATCAATCTAGGTTGCGTAATGGATTAAACATTATATCTAAAAAAAGAATAACATCAAAGACAGTCATGAATAAATTATTCACATATAATACAATGGACATGTAGCTGCAGAGGATTCAGACCCATGATGTACAATATACCCCTATTGATTAACAATATAAGGTATTTTGTAACTTGTAAACATGCAACGAGGACGGTCTTGTTTGGAGATGCAGCAATCGGCAGTGTAAGAAAAATAAAACTTCAGACACATATTGGATTTCTGAAAACAGAGGATACAGTTAATCTAACATACTCAGGGATTTAAGAACAAAAGAAGGCCTACCCGGAGATTTCAATTTGCAATTTAAACACTGGATAGTTTACCGACATTATGTGTTATACATGGAATGCAGTTAAGAAATCTCTACTAAAACAAGAATGCAAAAGCGACACTAGGATAGTAGCTATTATTAAATATTGACGATAAATGTACCTCCTTCATCACCCATAACAAACGTATTTACAACTTCACAAAAAAAAGACAGTTCAACTATGAGCTCCGAGTCTTAGCGCAGATTTTCAACGACTAAAGTAAGGTTATTATTTTTTTAATCATTTTTTTTTTTTTACATATTGGGGGCTGCCGCCCCCAAACCCCCGCTTAGTAACGTGAAAACACATTAAGAATCTTTTTTCTAGCTTCGAAAGTTTCTTACACAAAAAAATGGCGTCGCCCATCATAGTTGTTACGTTGCGAAGTTTTTACGCCGCGCCATCAGGTGACTTCTGGTCCCCCTACTGATATAGAATAGAAAGTGACCACTGGTCTCCCTATTGATGTCCAATATAAGGTGACCTCTTTCCCCCTATTGAAGTAGAATATAAGGTGACTTTTGGTCCCCTATTGATGTACAATGTAAGAAGACCTCTGGTCCCCCTACTGATGTTTAGCAATCGGATCATCTCGCCCTTTTCCGTCCCACGCTATAAATAAGATTGTACTTTTAGTTGAAATTTTTTCAAAATTCACCTTATATGTACAAATATTAGGGGTACCAAGTGTGACAGACTCATGTTTTTATATATTGTGCACATGTGCATAGCAATGCACATTGCAAGTGCATTTATTCATTAATTTAATTATGTACATGTTTTTACTTGCAGCACACTTCTACAGATGAATTATATAATTATTCATTTAATCTGTAGTTAAGTGTATTGATTTTTAAATTATTCTATTCCAGAGAGGTCCAGAGTTAGCCTCAGGGTGCTAATTATATTCTGGCCATGGTCATTTTGTATCTTTTAGTTTCATTGGTTTTTTAGTGTTGTCTTATGCTTTCCTATTGGTTTTTGTGTTTCCCTCCAAGTTTTCTTTGTGTTTTTTGGTTAATTCTTGCTTGGTCTTGGAAGTTGATGGAAGTATCGTTTAGCCATTGAGTTTATAAGTTTTACATATCTGACATTTGACATAGACCAACACTTCCTCTTGCATGGTAAGTAATTCTTTCATACTAATAAGTAATAAGATTCTAATTTTATTAAATGTGAAATCTGTAATTTTTGCACTTAATTCCTTAAATCACTTTTCTGGAGTAAATGTATAGTGAGAGTGAGACTTTAGGTATATAGAGTTATGTAAATAGTAAATACATTGCTGTCTCACTTTTCCTTATTTTTTAAAGTAAACTTTATTTTATGATTAGTATAAATATCTACAAAGGTGTTTATTGTTGGATTTGTAGATATTGAGATATTGCTGTCTTGTGTATGCAGCTTATATGCTGTACGTTGTACAGTATATGACCCATTCCCATTGAATGGTATGCGTGTTAATTGTTTTTATGCTGAACAATAATTCATTATGTACATATACATTGGAATGATAATTATTGTAAAGATTTTATTGTTAATATTCATTGATAAAAGTAATGGGAGATTTTATTATGTAATTTTCATGTAATTGGATTATCTCCCTTGATTCGGATAAAGCTATATGATATATTGATTTGTACATGTATATTGATTAATAGCTTTATAGTTTTTATGCTTAGAATTTATAATTTGTTATTTCATTATAGGGTTTTGATGATTATTGATCCATCGAATAAAGAGTTTATCGTCTTGTCAAAAACTCGAACCAACAGCCTTGTTGTTATTTAACATCCGACGCCAGTCATACCACACAAGTCTGTTACATTTCAACTTTGATTGTACATCATAATAGTGGACCAGAGGTCACCTTATATTGTACATCAATAGGGAGAGCAGTGGTCCCCATTGTTGTACATTTTTAAAGAAACCTGACATAAAATTAAATTTATATCAATGCAGAGATAAGGCATCAACGATTCTAGACCCGTCTTAACTAAGAGAGATCTCAAAAGAAAATAATGGCGGACCATATGTAACAGATAAAATGCATATTATAGGGATACCAGAGCTATAGGTCCTTTTATAAGAACACAACAAGAGGCCCATGGGTCTTATAGGTCATCTGATCATCATGATCTGTACAACAATCTCAATTTTGAAAAAAAGCACCATTGCTCATCATAACTATATAATTAGCATGCTTAGTATGGCATAATTAGAGCGCCACCCCTCAATAGTACCCATGAGCCAGGGGCCTTGAAATTAATAATTCTGGAAGGGACTCCCTTGGTAACAATAACTATATGTAGTTACATGTACAGTGTGGTTAAATTTATAGCCAGTAGCAGAGAAGATTTTTTTTAAAGAATTAATGTATTTTAACTATACAATTAATATAGCCCACCTCCCCTAACACCAGAACCCCAGACCCTTGGCTCATGAATTTCAGAACTTTGGAGGAGACACCCTTCCTCATCATAACTATGCATGTATAATTAGTTTGTTTAAGGAGCAGAGAAGAAGTTGTTCAAAAAATAAAATTAATGCATTTCACTATATAATTTTTATAGCCACGTCCTAACCCACAGCCCCTGACCCTGGGACAATAAATTTATCCTTCTGCAGGATCAGACAGGCAAGCCAGTCTAATCTTTACACTAGAATAGTGTACGGAAGGTTTTTTTACGAATATAAATATTAAGCTCAACATTTAATTTTGAATGAAACAACAACACCCAACCCCCAACTTCTCGCAAAAATCCGTAACTCCCTAAGGACATGCGAGTGGAGGATATGAACTTGTGTCATGACATCCCTGGTGCAGGCCATATCATGGATTCGAGTAGCTACACTGTAGCTATTAATAGGATACATTTGGACGACTGGGGAGAAATTCTATTGGTACTACATGCCATATGACGTACAATATCATGATGCATCATAGAGTACATATGTAACAGGATTATATATAGCCATCAAGACATGTCAGATGCAGTATGACCAGAACTATTGAACGAGTGCACCTGTAGATTTCCTGGGGCCATTGCCTGTTATTCCAAGATATAATTCCTATATATTCTTTTGATGGTAAACAAAAATTTACAAAATGGGTTGAATGCATACCTTTAGCTGCCATCACAAACAACAAAAATAACAACACGAGCTGCTAATGAGTTCTTTACTTAATAAGCATTGTCAATTAACAATTGCTTTCCATTCTTATGTCGATACGATACCGGTAATCCTGGTGAGCTTGAAAGAAAAGACAGAGTCTGACAAATGCACATCTGTTTTATACATGTACCTGTATTCAGATATTTTACTTGAAAAAGACGTTAATGGTAATCTGACAACCAAGCTCTATGATAAACGTGAGGACTTTAACTTCTCTATTGCCAACTTCCCCTATTTATGCAGCAATATACCTTCATCACATGTATACGGAGTTTATATATCTCAATTGATTCGATACGCAATAGCATGTTCTACGTATGAACAATTTCTAAAATGAGGTAAATTATTGACAAACAAATTGATGAAACAAAAATATCAGCAGTCTCATTTTTAAAAAGTCACCATTTCGTAAGTTCTACACTCGATACAATGACCTTGTCAGCAAATACAATTCATCATTATAAGTCAGATTCTGACTGACATTTTTCTTACTAACTTTTAGTGAATTACTTATACACTGAATTGACAACAGAACGATCATGACAATGAGCAAATGCTGGACGTGACCGGTTGGCAGGGGATGCTTATTCCTCCATGGCACCTGATCCCACCTCTGATTTTCAGACTCTGTAACCCCCATCCCCACCACACACCTGTACCTGTGACCTAGGGGCCCTGAAATTAACATTTTGAAAGAGGCAGTCTTATTGAACATAACTATGTACTTGGTTAGTTTGTTTAATACCCATGAGCAAAGAAGAAGATATTCAAAGAATTTCTGCTTTTTGCTAAATAATCAATGAAGCCCCACCTTAACAACAGAACCCTTGACCCTGGGGCCATGAATTTCCCGATTTTGATGATACCTTTGCTGTGGCCCGGGTCAGATCACCTCATGGGCAAGGTTATATTTTCTGGAAGACTCAGTGGGTCAGTTCGTCTGGTGCTGAAGAAGTGTACTAAAACTGGTTTCTTTTAAAGGTTACACAGAGAATCAAGAATACCAAATGCAATATATTCTTATGTATTTTAAAAAATACAACATGGCTAAACAATGAAAATCTCTAGATTACACAATAGTGCTAACTAAAAATAAAATATTTAATGTGAAAGACTTTGCAACTTTTAAACAATTAATACAATGTTATGTAAAATGAACAGCAAAATGAAAAAACTTAACGTCAATATCAATATAATTATAAATCGACATTATCCTTAGGAATGATAGACTCTGATGAAATGTTTATTAATACGTATCTAATCCTTAACAGTGATAGACTTTAACAATACTGTAGAATGAAGTACTTTTTTCCATGCGGTCATAGTTCCGCGGAATCTTAATTTCTGTTTAATCTGCGGGTAGAAAATTACGTGGATTTCTTAGACTGTCACTATATGCCTTACATTTAATTAAGTACGCTTGGACAAATTTCCGCGGAAAATTTGTGACCGAGTACATCACCTAAATTAATACCACGCAGAAAAATGTACTTCTACAGTAATTATTTGTATACCTCTATCTGAGACATCCTTAAAAATTATGGACTTTTATGATATATTTATACCTCAATCTCATCCTTAAGAATTTTGATAGACACTCACGTTACATGAACTGTATACAATTATCTTATCCTTGGGATGAAAAGACTAGCATGATACATGATTGTATAAATCTTTGTCTTCCTCCCAAATGATAAACTTGGATCACTCAGATGATACATTTATCTCATCCTTAGGAATGAGTCTAAGACTAGTATATATGATACATGTACATGTATAAAGTCTGAGGTAACATCCCTAGGAATGATAGACTCGAATAACCTCTGTGATGTCTTTTCTACAGATTGGACATCCGTCGCGTCGGTTGTGTAACATTTTGGAACACTCGTAACACGTGATCATGTGGTGACAAGGACACAGTAAACAATCCCGGGCTTTGTTCATACAGATCCCGCACTCCGTGTCAACAGTGGTAGACTCACGGCGGGTCTCCTTTATGGGTGCCACATTACCGTCATGTGACAGAACGGGGATCTTCTTTTCAAACATACAGGGGATTCCTGAGGAGTTCAATAACTGTTCTACTCTCACTGAAAGTTAAGGCAAATCAAATTATCATCTTCCTTGTTTTAATATTTTGTGAAAAATATGGGGCAAAAATGGAGAAAAAAAAGTTTCTCATCCAAATATCTAGTTGTCTACATGTTGCGAATTAAAAGTTTAAGTTCAAAAAGGCCTAAGTTTGCAAGTAAATGTATATGTCATTGTTTACCTGTACCATTCTAATATAATGCACTTTTTTTGTCTTCTCTCTAGAGCATAATTTAGTGGCAATGCTTTTCTCTCTCTCTCTCTCTCTCTGATATAACGTGCATGCTCTTCTCTCTTTCTCTCTCTCTCATGGTTGTGTATGAATATGAAATAATTAACTTACATCTCTCTCTCTCCTACCTCTCTCTATTTATTAACTTACATGCTTTTCTTTCTTCTCTCTGTTCTTCAGATAAAATCAGAGGATGGTTTCCAGATCTAAAAAATAATGTCTTTCCCATCCTTTCCAGCATCACACGAACTGCAAGATATACATCAAAACTTGAATTTCCACATATAACTATAAATTAATTCATATCATATCAATTCAAATCATTTCTTGTGTGTTTCTTGTGAATTGTTTTCCTTACCCATTGTATGTTCTGATAGATGTTTGTCTTGTTTTAATTTTCTGAAGAAAGCTTAAGTCTTTAATTTTTATTCTAGGTACTTTAAACTAGTGTTGTTACGATAGTCGCCGACTATCGAAAAATCGTCGTTTAAAGGCCCAGATCGGCGACAATCGATTGTAAGTATTATTATCGATAGATCGCTATATTTTTCATGCCGTATTTTTCAAGCCAATCAGGTTTAACTTTTATATTCACCAAAGGGGCGTCACTCTAATCGGTGGTAAACAAAATGGCGAACGTGCGTGGTGAAGAGGTTGACGCCGAATTATATCTATATCCTGGTGCAACACGATCTAAAGTTTGGGGTTTTTTGGCTTTCGGAATTAGGGCGATGGCCCTCCATGCAAAAATAATTTACAGATGGACTCGGTTATTTGTAAATTGTGTAAAAAGTCGCATGCCAACAAAGATAAGTTGAAGTTCGCGGTCAAATGTCATGGAATTCTACTCGTGCTGAATGAATAAATTTAACCTTTTTTAATAGTTCAAATTATCGATTATATAATCGATTGTGTTCTTCCGATTCAATTTGATTATCGATAGTAAAATTTGTCCGATTTTACAACACTACTTTAAACTAATAATTATGGTCCATAAGTTTGAAACCAAACTTATCCAAGACTTAAATTCTTTGTGAAAAGATCCAAGACTTAAATTCCATGACAAGGGAACTTTTTTCATAAATATAATGAAAGGTTTGCAGCATGATATATCTTTATCAAAAAAGGTCACAAAGGTCATATTTATTTTTTTCTAATTTTTTATTTTACAGTAAAACTTATAACAAAGTCACTGGGACCTGTGAAATAATTTACTTTGCTATTGCAGAAATTTGTTATATCGGTAACATTTATGAAGTTGGGGATCCAAGAAAAATTTGCCATATCCGTGAATTGGCAAAATCTGTGTTCATACTAAACAAGTTTTACTGTATACTTACAAATAAAGTAATGTTAGTTTACAATCATTATCATGTTACCTTTCTGTATGGACTTCTGTGCTGTGAAACTAGCGGGATTTATTTCCACCTCAGGAATGTAATACACAGGGTAAAGGAACCGCAGGCCTAGTGATCTCTACAAAAACAAACATGTAATACACAGGGTAATGGAAATGCAGGCCTAGTGATCTCTACAATACAAACACACCATTATCATGGTTCTGTGCGAGTACAATAAAGGAGAGTTGTCTCCTGTATCAGAGAGTTGATCCCCCTAAAATGTTTTAAGTACAGTAGCACTCCAGTGTCTCAAAAACTGACGTTAAAATGATCAATATGACAGTTGTGACCACTTCTGCATTTTTGTTCATATAGCTACATTATAATTATGTAGTTGCTTAAGATGACATTTTTTCTAGGAAAATATTTTCTTTATTATGTCCCTATAACCACTAACAAGGATTTCAGTCATTCCTTCAGTAAGCAAATCCTACTATACTTGTCAAACAGTAATACAAAGCTTCATAAAACAGAACATGCATTCTCACCTCTTTGTTCAGCACCCCTGACATGACATCGTCAATGTTTAGTCGTAGTGTGTTACTTCCAATAATGGCATCACTTTTACAGACATGTGACACCCCTATAATGAACATACAGAGAATAAGTATTACATTTTCAATCCTACAGAAATCAAAAAATCTTTGTCTGGAAATTAATGACTACAGATACATGTATCTAGTAATATCAATCTGATCATAAATTGATAAGAAAACTAGGGCATAAATTTTGTTACAATGCTTCTTTACAAAAATGTAACTGTTTTACTTTCTCATATTTATGGGATAAATGTTAGTTCAAGTTCAAGTTCATTTATTCTCTCAAAACCATTTAAAATGCATGGTACATGAGGACAATGAAAAATATTTACATCTTAAATATATTCAGGTCAGAGGTATGAGTATATATGATATACATAATTAGAAAATGGCAATGTGGGAAAAAGAAAAAAAGAGAAAAAACACGTATGATACATGTAAAATGAAATAGATGAGGGGAAAAAATTATGGAGGACAGACTAAATCATATATTTTTAATATAAACATACAAAGTTTTTTAAGTGACATAGCATTTTGTTTTGTCATCAGTAGGGAAAATTTAAAAATATTTGGTCTAGTAAAGAAATATTCATTAATATACTTTTTCCTGATATTTGACAGTGCAGTACATTCAAGTATAAAATGCATAAAATATAATATGAATTGATTTGTTTACATTAAATTCATAGTTTCACCTTTTTTCATCATGTTAAACTTCATAGCCTGACTCATTTTTATATAGAACTAGAACTGTCCAATAGGGACAAATACCCCCCGCTGGGTTTTTCAGAGAAGGTGCCAATTCAAAAATACTGTATGGATCTAGAGGTGTTCACAATTTACTTACAAATATTTGCAGTGAAATATTATTGCTCATCATGTTTCTTAATGAATGAAACAAAGGTGCAACCAAATGAAACATCAATACTAATACAATTTAATTCCATTGTAACATTTTTTTTTTTATTTTTTCATTTTATTTTTTTTTATTTCTGCATTAAAAAAATATATTGCAATTATGTGTTATGTCACTCTGCAAACTGATTGTTGAAAAAAAAACCATTATACAAAATCAAATTAATCTTGATATATCAATTTGAAATGCATTTTGAAAACAAAGAGCTGGTCATCCAGTAATGAAGTGCTTTGACAGACAATAAATTACAATTAAGAGAATAAGAGAAGAGAGATCTTTAATTCTTGTGCCTTATTCCCTGGAGATTAGATAACACACACGCTTGATAAAAGATATGCCTTAACAACTTCCAACACCAAACTCATTAATTTATCTTTAACTGGATGCATGTCCAGTCATTATTCCCAAGAGACAAATGAAATTACATTATCTTCTGTGCAATGTAAAAACTGTTTTTAACACTTGATGATGTTTCTTTTTTTTAAGTTTTTATGAGTAGTTTTAAGCTGTAGTATTTTTGAACAACTGATTGTTGAAAAAAAACCATTATACAAAATCAAATTAATCTTGATATATCAATTTGAAATGCATTTTGAAAATAAAGAGCTGGTCATCCAGTAATGAAGTGCTTTGACAGACAATAAATTACAATTAAGAGAATAAGAGAAGAGAGATCTTTAATTCTTGTGCCTTATTCCCTGGAGATTAGATAACACACACGCTTGATAAAAAATATGCCTTAACAACTTCCAACACCAAACTCATTAATTTATCTTTAACTGGATGCATGTCCAGTCATTATTCCCAAGAGACAAATGAAATTACATTATCTTCTGTGCAATGTAAAAACTGTTTTTAACACTTGATGATGTTTCTTTTTTTTAAGTTTTTATGAGTAGTTTTAAGCTGTAGTATTTTTGAATAGATATTCTAGATTCTATATCTCAAACCTTATACATGAGCCCAAAATGAACAAGTCAATTAAAATAAAAAATAAAACCTGTAAAATGCAAAAAAAATTAACAAAAAGAGTTGAAAATTCCAGGTGCACACCTTCATATGGTGAATAAAAAGTGTACAAATTTTCAGATTAATCCTTGCAATAGTTTCTGAGAAACGGTCCAGACAAAACCACAAAATAAAAATGAAAAAACACCTGTAAAATTCAAAATAATAATCCAATCAAGATGAAAATATCAGGTGCACAACTTCATATGGTGAATAATATGTGTACAAATTTTCAGACAAATCCTTCCAATAGTTTCTGAGTAATGGTCCGGACAAAATCTCGTCTACAGACAGACAGACAGACGGACAGACGGACAGACGGACATGGTGATTCCAATATACCCCCCCTAAACTTCGTTTGCGGGGGGTATAATTAACAGATAGCTGCTGCCATGTTAAAATCATAGCAAGTTGTACATGTTTTATGTATAATCATAAAATCACACAGGTAACATTGAGGAAGGAAAGAAACAAACATGAAGTACATCGTGTAACAGTGTTTATACTGAATACTACCCCCTCACATCATTTAAATGCTGAGACAATACCTGTCCAGATTATATAAAGCATTTATTTTTTACTTACTTTCCAGTAAATCTTTCTTGATCTCTAAATCCTCTTTCACGGCCTCAAAAATAAACTCAGCATCACTCACAGTTTCTTCCAGTCTGCTCATACACAGGACCTGACCCTGTATCAAAGGTCAAATACAGAATAATATTTAGAGTAAAACACATCTACTGTAAACCAACTTTTATTTGCGTGCGAGAAATTTTTGCAAAGTTCGTGAGAGCGTCTTCATCACGAATATTTCTTGCTGCGAAACAGGTCCTGTAAATCTCTGTACCAATTGACTACAAATCCAAAAAGGCTTGATCGAAATGAACCCAAATTCATTTGTAAGCCATGGTATTAAAGTAAGGTGTTATGATGCATAGTTTCTTTTACAACTAAAAGCAAATAATATGACTTCTTAATGCAGTAATGTAGCACAAACTTTGTAATCAGTTTATTGATAATTGAAAACACCATGATTTATTATAAGTGAATGAAGTTTTCAAAGAATTCATTTGGCTATATTAGAGACTCCAAAGTAAGTTCATTCTATACGGGAGTTCCATTCAAGTCCTCAGGCACCAGGGCGTATGGAATTCACGATCAAGCCTTTTTGGATTTGTAGTCAATTGGCACATAGATTTACAGGACCTGTTTCGCAGCAAGAAATATTTCTCTCCCAAGAAAGATGTCACCTATATTTTGATGAGGGGTCTTACTATGTGTAAAATGTAATATTTATCAAGTAAAACTAACACACTTTGGTTTGAGGTTTATGAACAAAATCTCTGAGGACCTCACAACAATAAATTTTTTAACTTAATCAATATTTATTTTGTTTTCAAAGTGGCATTTTTATCATTTTAATTTATTCATTCATTTTTTTTTAAATGGTCAATTTGGCTAATGGCCAGTCATAGGGAGAACTCTGTCTTACCACAAAATTCTTCTGAAACAGAATGCCGTCCTCCCTGAGGTGTTTCTTGTCGTCTTCCAGGACGTTAAACACGGAATTTAGAGCCGGAATATTGATGTCCCAGACATTCACTCGGTGACCATGATAAGCCAGCTCACCTAAAGAGGAAAAATACTAATTAATTTATCTTGCATCTTGGTATCCATGCAACATTCATTGTCTGCAGCAAGCTTTTTATTTAAAAAATTAAATCCGATAGGCCTATTTACATAACACTGAAATGCCTCCATTCACTCCATCTTTCAAATTTTAGTTATTCATTCATTTTCAACAGCTGTTCAAGGTATGCATGGTTTACGGTCATGTCGACGTCAGAGGAATTTCGGATTACATGATCAATGGCAATGACTATATGACTCGAACATTTTAAGTTAGGCTAATCATGTTACATTTGATATATGAAAACTTACCTGCTATTTTGGTACCAAGCAAGCCACAACCTAAAACAGCGATTTTCATAATGAAATGTTCTGATTGTCAACAATGAAGAAACAAAATCTACGTTTTTGTCTGCACAAATTGATTGTTTATGTTGCCCCCCTCCATCTTGGATTTTTCGCAAGCTCTGGAGGGAGTACCTATTAACGAAAATTTCATATTTTTTCCGTTTCGTGACATTTGATAAAAAATGATTCTTAAACATATAATAATAAATCTTTTATTGTTTATTTCAAAATAAGAAAAAAAATAAAAGAAAAGCTCTTACGTAATATGGCTCGATATATTTTTTTAAAGTGTACACGTTCTTTCCAATCACTTCTCCCCCAAGGACGGTAACTTCGTCCAGAATCACAAGAATCACAAGATGAGTGAATCGGAGCCTCCAGTTCCAGAGAATAGCAGGAAAGCTGTAGCATTACAACGATGGAGAATCTTAAGACAGGTGCCCCTTTCTTTGGTTTTTTTTTTTGTATATAAGCATTTTGAGTAGTTGATCTTTAAACGGTACGGCAAGAATTACAATGAATCAGCCTTCCAGTTTGCCCACTACACATGCTGCAGGCATTCTACACTGTTCTAAGAAGATGAAATGAAAATTATAAAAATCGCATTGTAAAGAAAAAAAGTGGCAATTAACTCTGGTATCAAAAGCAAAGAAAGCCTTTTCATATAATTAAAATTTAAGTAAAATAATGTTTTTAAAACTGAATAAACGACATATTTTAATTATTTATTCTAAAATCAATTTTTATTGAATATGTAACCATGTTTGAATTTACTTTTCAATAGGCATTGAAAGGCAGCAGTTCATCAGAGACATGTACAAGTGACGTCTCGGTCCGGCGATTTGCTGGTTATGGTCTACTGAAGACAGAGAAGTTGTCCGTGACACCAGAGGGTAGTGTGTGGTACAGATACACAGCCCCCAACCAGCCCGGGTTCAGCATGTCCATCAGGTGTGACAAAGTGTTTTCTTTTTATATAGAACAACTGGACTGAAAAAATTGAGGAATTCAGTCATATTTGATTTTTATTGGCGGGGGGGGGGGGGGGGGGGGGGGGGGCATCATCGCAAACCACGGCCAAAATGTACGATCCTCTCCCATGCTGGCCATTGTTGAAGGAGAAGAGAATAGCTATATCATAGTTCATTAAAAGTTTGAGCACTGAATAGGATGTCATAATAGAGAGGCGTAAATAATATTTTAGATTAGACACTTTTTGTGATCAAGCAGCCACGGGTAGGAGAGAGCTATATGCGGACTCCGGACTGTGTCTTGAGACGATGGGGGGTGGGGGGGTTTGTGGGGAGGAGGGAGCACCATATAGATAGGATCAAGAGTTTATTTATTCTTGACACATGTTAAGACAATGTAATTAAAATTAGACCTTTTGTCTCACTCTTCTTAATTTTCACAAGTAATAATAAAATTAC